AGAGAGAGACACTCGGCCTTACACCTGTCACACTTCTTGTGACAGGTGTAAGGCGATGATGAATGTGTTTGAAAAGATCACTAATCTCCTTAAACATGTTACTAATATCAAATGTTCCACATCCACACATCACTTCCTTTTTCAAAGAACATTAAGTCTGTTCTCATTCTTATAATTAAAGTCTACATCTCGCCGCTCTGCTTTGTGTCTGCGCCTTCATTTTTTTTTTTTAAATACAGATATTACAGCCGCGATTAAAAACGCGCTTTCCTGAATACAGCGTGTGTCTTTGCAAGCGACTCGATGCCATGTTCGCTGTATTTTTTTCTAATGCGCACATACTTTTAATATGTCCCCATGGCTGCCACAACAAGCCTGTTGGTGTTGCTGCACACTGCAAGAGAGCCATCCAGCTGCAGAAATATGTTGTTCCCCAGCGGGACAACAGGCGCTGCTGGAGCCACCTCCAGACTTCGGGAGACAGAGATCAGGCTCGGGAGACATCAAGGAGCAATCAGTGTCTGCTCACATACACCGACAGACTGATTTATGATGAAACTTTAAAGAAATCATTTATATTTCACCACCTCTAAATCGGTGTATGAAATTTTCATCCACAATGAAACACACAAAAAAGTATATCTTAAGTCAAATAAATCAGCCCCAGCTTCTCCCAAGCAATTGACTTTGAAGTGCACTTTCAACACTTTCGCGAGTGTGTTCACATACCTAAGGCTTTTACTTCCTTTGCCAACAGCTTTCTCACGTTTGAGGGAGGACACCGTGTCAGAATGTTTAACAGAATTACCTTTGAAGGGTCTGTCATGGCAAACAGAAACACAATTAAGCTGCAATTCCACATATTTCCCCCTTTTCTTTTTAAAGCTGTTATATTTGTTTTACTGTATTGGTTTAACGTATTACTGTTTTCCTTTTTTTTTTATTTATAGAATTTTTAATTATAAACAACACGTTATGTGCAGCATTTCAATTTTTATCTTTAATCATTCATCAGCAATAAATAAATTATTACATCTAACTCACGACAATATTTTATTAAAGAAAATAAAATGCATTAATCAGAACAGCCTTTCTGATTTTTTCAATTTTATTTTTACACTGTGAAAATATTTTGATGTGCAAATATGAGTTTTTTCAACATTTTCATATAGTTAGCCAAATGCTCCTCCAGTTTTAAATAGTTTTCCCTCCATTTATATCATCACACTGATACAGTAATTTGAGGCAATGTTGCTATTAGAAAAAAAAAACACATAGTTGTTTAAGTTGCACATACCTTGCCTTTAAAAACATATAGCCTCAGTGTAATTGTGCAAAAAAAGAAAAAAGGAAAAAAAGATTTCTAGCACTTCAAGGATCTTTGCTACATACATATATAAATAAATCTGCTCCATCTAAAAATAAAAGTAAAGCCAAAAAGTAAAACAGGGAGCACATGCAGCAAGGCTTGATATAACTCAGGTGACTTGTTTGCTTTTTTTCTCCCCTCCTCCTCCTCCTCACTCTCTTACTTACATTTGAATCAAGGAGTGCTGCAGAGGTGTCTGTGTGCTTTTACACAAAGACATACTCTTCTCAGCCTCCCTCAGGAGCTCTCCACGTTAACAATCCCAATTACACCAAGACCACCAGAGACAGCTGTTTTTATTACAGAACCGCTCCTTTGTGCCGCCAACAAGGTATCTCCGCTCCTAGACTGAACACAGAGATAAAGCTCGACTGTGAGGCAGAGGCAGAGAGGAGAGGGAGAGAAGTGTGGAGTGAAGTGGATGAAGTCTCTCGACTGCTCGCAGTGGTGATGCCTTTATTCACAGCTTCCCCCTACCTTTTCTGATCTCGTGGAGCTCTTTACATGCTGGAGCAGAAGGTCAATGCTTGTTGGGAGAGGGTCTACAAAGAGATCAGGATCTAACTCAAGGCAACAGCAAATCACACACACAAAAACGAGAGTGGGGGGAGGGGGGGGGGATGTGTTTCAGTCACCAAAAGCAGCGTTTTATTTATTCATCTGCTTTACCTGGGAAATGTGACAGGTTCCACGAGGAACATTCAGGCTTTAATGTGTTGTTTAAATGCATACAACAAAAGGTAGAAGCCTTCAGGATTTACTAAATGTCACATACTGTACTGTAGCTCTCAGGCGGAACAAGTGGCTCGCCACTTGAGATAATGAAAGCGGGTTCAAAAACTGCTCCAGAATCGCAGCTCGACTGTAAGCGCATTTGATCTCTCCGTGGGGCAAAGTATGAGCATCAACAGTTTGCGAGACAGTCAAATTATGTTTTAATTCAGCTCAGTTCAATTCTACGTATACAGCGCCAAATCACAACAACAGTCACCTCAAGGCGCTTTATATTGTAAAGTAGACCCTGCAATAATACAACAAAGAAACTCCCAACAATCATATGACCCCCTATGAGCAAGCACTTTGGCAACAGTGGGAAAGAAAAACTCCCTTTTAACAGGAAGAAACCTCCAGCAGAACCAGGCTCAGGGAGGGGCAGCCATCTGCCGCGACCTAGTTGGAATGAGGGGAGAATGACAGGACAAAAGGCATGCAGTGGAAGAGAGCCAGAGATTAATGACAACTAATGATTTTATGGGTAGTTTGAGAAAGAAAAAAATTTGGACATTTTTATGACTTTGCAGTCCAAAAAGCTGGAGGGAAGGGGGCTTTCACTGAACTTTACTTACAAATCTGCAGGAAACTATTTTTTCTTTTGCCGCTTGGGGTCAGTGGAACAAGATCTGACATATTAACTTTAAAAAGCGGGCAAATGTGCAGGCAAACGGTTGTTTACACACGAGCAGTTGTAGGATGTGACTGTGTTATTTTTAACCCTACATTCTCTCTTTTAGCTCTGTTTTGGTCTCCGACTTTTCTTTCCTCTTTTGAGTCTTCTTAGTGTATAAATGTGCAGCTAATTCAGATGCATCCCGTCTTACACTTGATTTCTGAGCTGTTTAGATAAAAACGACTGAAACTTATGAAGTCTGTGAGAATGAACCAAATTATTAGTGATTCGAAAAAGGCTGAAAAACAAAAACAACAAACTGCAGAGTCAGCTGATAATCATATGAGGGTTACACCATTGAAAGTATCACCCTTCACATTGCACACAGTCATTTCAAATATAGAAACATGGTAAAATGCTGCTTTTTAGACTCCACAATTATTTCCATTGTTTATTTATTTGTACGTTTTTACACCGGTGTTGCTAATTTCATCACTTTCTGTTGATTCCTTTACTGCAGCCAACAGCAAAACCTGCTAACCTGGTGTAGTAGTGAAGTCAACCTCAGGCTAAGAGGTCAGGAAAACAAATAACACCAGCACCAATTTCCCTATTACGCACCAGATGCCAACCTTTAGGGGAGAGGCATTAGATTCTGGCCCAGCCCTGCCTATAGGCTGCAGGGCAGCAGATGATAAGGTCAAGCCTCATAATGATGTCACATACCTTTAGGTACTTCAGATCAATATCGAGAGAGGCGCGTGATACCTGACAGTCAGTCAAATAAAGCCTGCCTGGCAAAGGGAAAGGAGGAAAAAAAACTCACTTTGAGACTGCCTCTGCTGATAAAATGAGATCCTTTCTTTCATGCTGCTTTTGGCAAAGATCGCAGTGTAGGCAGGCTTTGTGAGCTCGAAAAAAGCGTGGTCATCCTCACATCTGGTAACGTATCCTACGGTTTTGGCCACATTTTGCAGATTAACCACACAAAACAACAAAATTTTACATATGTAAAAAAGCACATTTGTTGTTTTTTTTAACCGTAAACTGAATCCGTTTGGTTTATCATCGACTCACACGGCTCTGTAGGATAATATTTGACATGACAGTCATTCCTTTGAGACTTCAAATGGCAGAAAAGGTGCTGGTGAGGAAGGCAGTGCACATGAGGAGAAGAAT